TCACGGCTTCTAGCAGTCAACAGCTGATGCTTCCAGGCAGAGGTTTCATCGCTTCGATGTGAAGTCAATACTGGCCATAACGTTATGCAGCCCTTTTACCCATCTAACTGCAAACTTTGACTCCAGATGGCCATGAATTATCCAGGCTAGCTCTCCACAGAGGGAAGACAAATGGCTTTTTTATTAGTTCGAAATTTACTGGCTGTTAATTTCACGGGGAAACAGGACAGAGTACGATGCCAGGAGGCTTCGGTTTCTGTCACAGTCTTCGCAGTCGTAAACAACACCTCCTTTGTAGTTCTTTCTCATTTGCTTACTCCTCTCATGGTCCATCTCTGTCCACACCTTGTCCTGTAAGGGAAGAGGCTGAGCACTCCTGTCTTTCAGTGAGCTTGAAAATATTCTATCAATCAAAACTCTTTTTTAAATTGAATTTTCTCTTGATGAAATGGATTTTTTCAACAAATCTGTCTGCTTTCTATCCCCCCCTCCAGGAAAATCAAGTTTCTTTCAAAATGCCGAATGTAAGTACAAGAAATATTTATACTTTTCCAACACAGCAAGATATTTTGAGCTTCAACTTTTGGCTGAAATTGAAAATAGGAGGGGGTCCGCTAATCTGCTTCACTACTTGCTGTATCTAGATTAAGCTGCTTAGAAAGGGGATTGTCCTTCCCCACAGCGCAGCGTCCACTACAAGGGAGGGATGATATGAATCGGGTTTACTACATATTACTGATATTCAATCATCAAAAAGATTGTGGAGAGCAGATAGAAATCTCGGCTTGCAAGGAAGTCTCAATCTCTCATACTATTACAGTGATGGCATCCCAAGATGCCAGCACTGAGGTAAAGGCCGTTCTGGAGTAAAGGACACTTAAAGGCATATTTGAGCACTGCAGGGACTGCAAACAGGAGCCAGATCCATGACACATCTCCTCCAGGGCCCTTGGAGAGTATTTTGGACAGGAGCACCATCAGCAGCGTCAGAAGGGGGAGAGATCCCCAGG